GATTTCTAGGTCTTTGCTCTCCATGTGTTTGCAGTTGGATGTCAATCACAATATTCCCTTCCTTGAGTTTTCATTGTTCAATTAGAATTTTTGAAAATAACTGTAAATATGTTGCATTGGTCTCCCTAGAAACTTGATGTGTTTGTACTTTTCAGTTTTCAATTTATGAAAAATGTAAATGCACTCTTTTTTTAAGTTGTCTTTTTTCACTAGATATTTGTTTAACTCTTTATAGTTAAAATATTTTTTTCCCAATGAATGAACCGGTGTGCATGTTTTAAAAGATACAATCGTTTTAATTTTTCCTACTGTAACCATTATATTCATTGCAGAGAATTTAGAAAATAGGGATAAACACAATAATAACTAAACAATGGCCACTAACCTCACCTGGAGATAGACTTGTAAGGTTTGAAATTGAAAATTACAAGTCCTCTCAACTTGTTCTTCTTTTTCAAGCACGTTTTGTTTACTGAGACCCTCAAATTCCCATATGAATATCAGCAGCAACTAGTCAGTTTCTGCAGAGGAGCCCGCTGGGATTGTGATCGAGTTCACGTTGAATATTCGGATCACTCTGAGGAGCATTGCCATTCAAAGAGCGCTGTCTTCTTATCCAGGAATCTGCGTGGTGTGTCTGTCCAGGTATTTAGATCTTCTTTAATTTTTGTTCAACAATGCGTTGAGTTTACGTATTATTTTACTTTTTTTTCTTTGCCTTTATACTGAGGACAAGTGTGCAAGGTACCGGGATCATAAGTGTATTTGAGCCCCCATTTGCTGCCACCATGGACGCTGCGCTCCTGCTTTGACCTCTGTAAAATCTTGCACAAAATAAGACCTCAGTAACTCTCTCTTTAATGAATGATTATATGATTGTTGGATGATGCTTGAGAGTCCTTGTGATGATGTCTTTTTCCCAGACTTTCCCCTCTTCTTAACTATGCCCTTTCTCTTCCTTTACTCCAGCCTGGTTTTCAGCCTCTGAGAGATAAGTGTGTGTGAAAGCCGTCCTTCACCTAGCTTGAAGGGATCATAAAGTTTCTTTTCAGTTGCCAACTGCACTCCATACATATATATGAGGAGGTACAAGATCCAACTCGGGTTTACAGTGAAAAAGGCAGGCACTTTAAACCGGCACTAGGAAACAGACAGAGAAACCAGAGTAAGTGTTTCTCCTGCAAACCATTCCTTTCGTGCTGGATGAACGAAAGTCTCTCCACAT